GTGGTGGTGGTGGCGTTCGGCCATCTGCCCGGCCAATCGTGGACAGACGACCACCACCGCCGACAATCTCTTTGATCACCACTTCTGCTCGGCACTGAGTGACTGTGTGCAGAGGCAGTCAGTCAGACAGACAGACAACACAGACATGAGGCATGGCGCAACAGACGTAGCACCACCGACAACTGACACTGATTGCTGGCCACCACTTACACTTACACTTGCCCTTCTGTTGCCATTTGCCGTTTGCCATCTGATCACAGTGCACACACTGCCAAACTGAATTACCAAAATGAGACTTTGCTTTTTTGAAAGTCCATTTGCGGGTGCTCACTCAAAGTGCTCTAAAAGGGCGTCGACTAGGCGCCGGTTTTTGGGTGACAGTCCTTCCATCGGTTCACTTGATAGTGAGAGCAGCAGCAGCAGCAGCTCGTCTACAGGTTAGAGCGTCATGACCACTTTTGCAACACTGATTCAATCCCNAGTGCACACACTGCCAAACTGAATTACCAAAATGAGACTTTGCTTTTTTGAAAGTCCATTTGCGGGTGCTCACTCAAAGTGCTCTAAAAGGGCGTCGACTAGGCGCCGGTTTTTGGGTGACAGTCCTTCCATCAGTTCACTTGATAGTGAGAGCAGCAGCAGCAGCAGCTCGTCTACAGGTTAGAGCGTCATGACCATTTTTGCAACACTGATTCAATCCTNGGGTGCTCACTCAAAGTGCTCTAAAAGGGCGTCGACTAGGCGCCGGTTTTCGGGTGACAGTCCTTCCATCGGTTCACTTGATAGTGAGAGCAGCAGCAGCAGCAGTTCGTCTACAGGTTAGAGCGTCATGACCACTTTTGCAACACTGATTCAATCCCTTTCCCACACAAAACAACCAATTTCAATCATTTTTCCAATTAATAAATACAACATTTTTCTTCTTTTTTCCACAGAGTCAAACAATGTTGCTCGAAATTACCACCACCACCAGCAGCCGCACCACCACCCGCACAACTCCAAATGGTGTCGAGTGGCGTACTGGGAGTTCAGAGACCGAGTGGGTGACCAGGAGTGCCTGGGCAATGCCGTCAACGTTCTCACCGCCTCTTCTTCATTGGATGGGAGCGGCGCCGTTGATGCGCTGGAAACCGTTGAGCTTAGCCGATATCTAGTGGAACCGCCGCTGCAGCCGTCTGAATCGAGACAACCTCATCAGCAAATAAACCTGCTGTCCTTCTTCCGCAGCCGCCGCCACCCGACGAACGAACTGGCGAAAACGCGCTCCAAAATCGGCCTCGGCGTGTCGCTGTTCAGAGACGAGGAGGACGACAGCGTCTGGCTGTACAACCGCTCCGCCTGTCCGGTCTTTGTCTCCTCGAGGACGCTCAGCACTGGCAGTCACCACCGCCCGAACAATCAACCGCCACCACCACCACCTCAGCCACACCCAGCGGCCAACGGCGGCGGCGGAGTGCTCCCGGTGCCGACGAAGGTGCCACCGGGGCACATCATCAAGGCATACGACTTTGCCGTTGCCAGTCGTCTTCAGCGGATGGCCCAGCTGCAGCAGTCAAAGAATACGCACAACCATTTCGCAAACAAACACCATTACCACCACGAGTTCAGCTTCAGCTTTGTGAAGGGCTTCGGCGCCAACTACAGTCGCCCGGACACGCTGCAGTGTCCCTGCTGGGTGGAGGTCTTCCTCGAGCCGCCCTGTGTGACCACGACCACCAGACAGCCGCTGTCCGATGATTCCGCGTGATGATTCCTAACTAAACCCGCCCCACCCCACCACCACCTGTTGTATCCCACGTCAAATCCTTTCTTCCTGTCGCTAAGTCAAGTTCTCTCTCTTTTTCTATTCATACAACAAACACGAACAACCTCCGCCGTAATCAACCTCCACCTCACCCACCCGATCACTTCTGCAAACTCCTAGTCTGTCTCACAAAACCCCTCCTCCTTCTTCTTTGTCTTCAGTCGTTCACCATCTGTTACATATCTTCATCTGTTTCAATCTGATTTTCCTTGCTTTTTCGCCCTTTTCACCCTTCACCCCACTCTCTCACTCACTCACTCACCTCATCACTATGTTATGCTTCTGTTTTTCTTTCTCTCTCTCATCACTTTTTGAATAAAGANTCCCCTCTTCCTTCTTCTTTGTCTTCAGTCGTTCACCATCTGTTACATATCTTCATCTGCTTCAATCTGATTTTCCTTGCTTTTTCGCCCTTTTCACCCTTCACCCCACTCTCTCACTCACTCACTCACCTCATCACTATGTTATGCTTCTGTTTTTCTTTCTCTCTCTCTCTCATCACTTTTCGAATAAAGATTCCTATTTCCATAGTTTTCAGCTTTGTACAGTCGCTTTTTAATTCAACCAGACAGAGAAGTATACAAGAGAGTACNACATATCTTCATCTGTTTCAATCTGATTTTCCTTGCTTTTTCGCCCTTTTCACCCTTCACCCCACTCTCTCACTCACTCACTCACCTCATCACTATGTTATGCTTCTGTTTTTCTTTCTCTCTCTCATCACTTTTTGAATAAAGATTCCTATTTCCATAGTTTTCAGCTTTGTACAGTCGCTTTTTAATTCAACCAGACAGAGAAGTATACAAGAGAGTACAAACTTGGTGATTGATGGATGAATGAATGAATGAAATATGTGTGTGTGTTTCTAATTGCATTGGTTGGTTGGTGTTCAGTTGGTATGTCAAGGTGGCAAGGTGTTGGCTGTATGTAATGTTTAAAAAATAGAATATAGACAGAAACTAGAAGGTACGAGCAGGTTCAAGAAGAGAGTGCAAAAGGGAAATAAAAATTGTTTAACAAGTTAAATAAAAAATTGGAATAGACAATAGTGGCCCTGTCTCGGTGAAAAAGGTCAAGCTGAGCAAGCTCAGCTTTGGTCCTTCCGAGGAGACATGACGTAGAAGAGAAGCAGTGCTTTTTGTTGTNAAAGGTGTTGGCTGTATGTAATGTTTAAAAAATAGAATATAGACAGAAACTAGAAGGTACGAGCAGGTTCAAGAAGAGAGTGCAAAAGGGAAATAAAAATTGTTTAACAAGTTAAATAAAAAATTGGAATAGACAATAGTGGCCCTGTCTCGGTGAAAAAGGTCAGGCTGAGCAAGCTCAGCTTTGGTCCTTCCGAGGAGACATGACGTAGAAGAGAAGCAGTGCTTTTTGTTGCATAAAAAAGAATAAGTGGTAAAAAGAATATAACATCACTTGTGATTTGACATTAGCCAGGTCAGCCCTTCGTGGAGGCCATCACCGGAGAGAGCACATGCTGGCTGGACGTACCAGTTTCGTTGCCGAAAGTTGTTCATCGTTAAACCGAGTTTATCTTGTATTTCAGTGGGTTTCATGGCTGTAGAATGGACGCCACAACGTACACAGGCACGGAAGGCGACAAAAAGAAGAAAAAACAATTTCAGTGAAGGCACAGAAAACAAAAAGGAAATGACACAATAACAAGTAAACACACATACCATCATTGAGGTCCTGTTTATTTGCAAAGACTAAAATTATAACGTCCCGCATTTCACGATCGTTTACAATTTTGTGCAATTCGTGCCGAGCTTCGTCGATGCGATCCCGGTCAGTGGAGTCGACGACAAATATGAGCCCCTGTGTGCCGGTGTAGTAGTGCCGCCATAGTGGCCTGATTTTATCCTGTCCGCCTACATCCTGTCAACAAACAACAATAACAAGTTGATGAGTTATTGGCTGACAATGGGATGATCTACTTCGATTGATTGGCTGATTGAGTGCTTCAATCAATCAAAGGGCTTACCCAGACGCTGAAGCGAACGTTTTTATACGTTACAGTCTCTACATTGAAGCCGACGGTAGGGATGGTGGTGACTGGTTGGCCAGACTTTAATTTGTACAGAATTGCTAGCGAAAGGAAGAAAGAAAGGGAAAGTTGTAATAATGTTGTGGAATCTGGTAAAAGCGTGCTTACTCGTCTTGCCGGAGGCGTCTAGACCGAGCATCAGGATGCGAATCTCCTTGCTCCCAAAGATTTTAGACAAAAACTTGCCCATCTTGTTTACGTTTAGGCGGTAATGTGATGGAGAGATCTGAAGAGAAGAGAAGAGCAGGATGGGATGAAGAGGAGTGAGCAAAGAGAAAGAGTGTGAGAGAAAGAGGCGGTGGTCGGCACAGTTTGTTTTGGTATGTTCTGCTGACTTCTGAGTGTTTGTTTGGCTGCCTGTGCCGATCACCGGTGAGCACCGTCGCTCACAGGGAGTGCTGGTAGCGGGAGGGGGGGGGCGTGCACCCGGTTCGGTAGTGATATGATCAGTGATGATGACTCGTCTTGATCGAGTTGGCTGATAAGAGGGGAAAAGCAGATCGGAGCTGAAGAAGCGATGGAGGCGGCTAAAAAGATGTACGGTGGCAGCTGTACAGTTGACTGGACTGACAGACGGCAGCCGATGCTGCTGCCTACTCATAAACACACACACACACACACA